CCCAAACACCTTTCATTCACTCCTTTAGCTTCTAACTCTTCTAGCTCCAATGTTAACTATTACTATCATTTATAATAAATATAAATACAAATAATATTTTAGATCAAATAATTTATTTAAAATTAAAATAAAAAAGAAATAAATCAAAAATTAGTAAAATATTTAATATAAAAGGATTTAAAATTTTTTAAAATTTTTTTTTTATTTTGTTCCTTTTTACATATACAACACACGCAATAAAAAACAATCACACACAATCACAACTTTTTTTTTTTAAATCTTAAATAATATAATAATTTTTCTTTATTATTATTATTAATGATTCGTTTTTACTTTTTTTATTTTTTCAGAATATAAATATAAATTTTTTTATTTTTTTTCGACTAAAAAAATAAATTCCTTTTTTTAAATAATTTCTAAAAATAATAATATAGAAAATAGAAAATTAATTATTTAGAAAAATCGTCAATTGTCTTTATTTGTGTGTGGTGTTATCCCTTTCCCTATTTTATTTTCTCACATTATTGTGTTCCTTTCTTTTATATCATCGTGATTTATTACCAACATAGTATATATACTTCTTATTTTTCATGTTAAAATTAAATGACTCGCAATATGTTTTGATGATGACAGCTACCGCTACAACCACAATGACTACCACCACAACGATGACGGTGGCATTAAAACCAAAATCGAAAACCAGAATATTAACTAAAACAACATTAGCCATAACAAAATTGATGGATAACACAACAACCGATTTGCTACGAAATACCACTAACACTACGACAACGACAATGGCAACGACGACAACGACATCTTCCACAACGACTTCTACTTTGTTATCGTCGTCGCCGTTGACACTTTTTAAAAGGACGTTAATAGTTGATGATAATCAATTAACTGGAACAATATTGAAAAGGATGCTTCGGAAATACTTTAAACATGATGTCTCGTGCGTGGAAAGCGGCGAAAAAGCTTTAAATTTATTATCGAAAGAACATTTTAATTTAGTATTTATGGATGTCGACATGCCAAATTTAACCGGGATAGAAACAACGTTGGCAATTCGTAATTCAGACACGATATTAAAAGAAAACGTCCACGTTCCAGTTATCGCCTATACCACCAATCAATGGGATAACGAATATTCAAAGGCAGGAATGGTAAATATCTTATTTCTCTCCTTCTCTCTTTTACCCAATATATGTTTTACTTATTTTAATTAATTGCTTTTTAATTTTATCAAAAAAAAAAAAAGATCGGATATGTTGGAAAACCTGCAAACCCATCAAAAATCCAAGCCGAACTTGAAAAAGTGTCACTAAAAATTACCACTACAACAGCCATTACGTCCAACAACAGCGATTTGTCGTCGTCATCGTTAACGTCAATAGTTGATTAATCAATCATCCATGATTTTATAGAAGAATGTCGGATTACTTCATCTCCACTTATTTTAACAATATCGACGGAAATTAGCGACTCCTAGAAAATAAAAATAAAAATCATCGTTATTTTGTTTTAAAAACCTTTTTTTTTTTTTTTTTAAGATTGTAAATATTAAATTTTCTTTATTAAAATTTTTCGTGATTGATTTTTTTTCATATACTAACTATAATATATAGTATATAAATATATAAATATAAATTTTGTAATATAAATATAGATAATTCTTTCCCCCATAAAACACAAACACATTCAAAAAATTTCGATTAGATTAGATTATTATTATTTATGTATAAAGCAATTATGTAAAAACACAAAATCCTTCCAACAAATTAAGATATTAACTATAATTACATAATATTCAATATATGTGCAATGTATAATGACACATGCCTTTTTTTCTTGTTTACATTGTTGTACACTAAAATTTCCATGTATTTATATTAGTTTTATTAATTTTAATTATCTAAATTTTTATTTTAAAAAATCATCATTAAACCATATTTATCCAAAGGAAAAACTCTGTCATGGTGTAACATCCATTTTATTTTTCATATTTTGGGTAGCATGAAATTTTCCTTTTTTTTTTTTTGACATTTTCTATGTATAAACAGACCACGAATCTCTCTCAATCAGGCTATATTTCCATGTATTT